TATATATATATATATATATATATATATAAAGATCAAAGGAAACCAAAACACGAAAAAAAACAACAGCAAAATAATCATAATAAGCGATAAATTTGATCAAAAAAGGAGAAGCCCGTTAAGAAGGCTAAGAAGCCATTTTGACTCAGGAAATGGTTAGATGCACATGCGACCACCCAGAAGCAAGGAAGAAACATCCATTGGAGGTAACAAAACACAAACCAAACAACGGAATCATCAACCCTCAATCCAACCAGGCACCCGCAGAGCACGAGAACAGACCACCAACGTTGTCAGCAAGCCAAGCCAATAGGGTGGTTCGCTGGAATCAACCTCATCATTGTCAAAAAAATACAGAATCAAAACACACAGCAACCAACCGACAAACAACACTATTCGGAAAGACCAAAACCCAACATTAAAAAAAAAAATTACCAATCTCCTTCCTTTTAATTTTCCTCATACGAAATTTGTCACCCTCCAAGGCAAAAGCTTTTTCAACGATGCGAATAACATTCAAGTTATATACGCCTAGCCAAATCGTTCCGATCGCCCCCACTAAGAGAGGAATTAGAGTCATCAAGTCAATCATTATGATCTACTTCACAAGCTCTCAAATTAACCGACAGATAAGCATATTTGTATGATTTATCTAACTGTTAGGGGTATAGAATTACCGTGGTTAAATTTATTTTAACTATATAAATTAAGGTTATAAATGAGAATTAATCCATTTGTATATATTGTCAACAAAAAAAATAAAGTTTTTATTATTTAATCATCATTTTCACATATATTATATTATTCTAATTTAAAATTTCTATTTAAGGTGTAAATATTGATTCCATGGGTGCGAGAATCAGTGCTTATGTTTTTATTCTTGGGAATTGACTAACCATGAAAGGCTGTGTAAAATTATTCTATCATCTTGTAAGTATATATTTATCAGCATTTGGATTCCTGCGCTTGATCATATCAAGTGGCAATCTCTCTGATGCGAGATGCCTGCGCTTAATTATATCTGCGGCTGTTTATATGAAACTGATTCCATTCGAATAAGCAGTAATTATATATTGATTAAACTAATGCATAGTCCATTAATACTTCATAGTTTGCATGTAATTAATTAATTTCATATAAGCAGCCGTTCTACGCATTTATTCACTTGCATCTAATGCATGAATTAAAATAAACGATGCATTTATCAGTGATGATATAAGCTATTTTTTATTTTTATAGATGAAATTATAATTTTATTTTGTTGAAGGATATTTAATGAGTTGCCTCATAATTAAACATTCCTTAATAATTTTTTTTTTGGACCAAAGGTAGCGCTTGACAGTGTAATTAATTCTTTGGCGGAACCTTATTTAATGATTAAGGTTTCGTTTGGGATAACTTTTTTATTACTTATTAAAATAGAATTTTAGATTTTTCTACTAAAATCCAGTTTTAAAAAGCACTAAAAAAATCCTCCCAAATAAAACCTTTAAGGTATATTGATTCCATGGGTGCAAGAATCAGTGCTTTATGTTTTTTATCCTTGGGAATGGAGGAGGACTAACCATGTGAGGCTCCTCATAAATTTTATATTGTTCTATTATCTTACATTTATATGGATTCCTGCGCATGATCATTCCAAGTCCCTAACTAATGCAATTTACTCCCTCTCCTTATAATAATACCGATTAATTATTCTATAGGGACGCCGAATGTAGTCTGGATACCAACTAGAATATGCCACATCACCCCTTATAGCTCAGTATTGTGACTTGGTACCGCTCAGTACCGCTGACATGTCGCATTCTAATTATTCTCCGGATGGCTTTTTGCGATCGGTCTACACAGAATAATTTCTCCTTTATACCACCCCCATCTAATAATGTCCACCACAATACTAAAATACAAGGAAAAATATTTTACAAGCTTAAAAGCAATTTTGCTATATCACATGCCTTAATCACTTCCAATTATTCATTTAATTTCAGACAATTGGAATTGTAATCATAAAAAAATTAAAATAATTTCATCACCAAATATCTAAAATAAAATGAATGACTGATATCAAAGTAATTATACTATACAACTACAAGTAAAAAAAAGAAAGGATTGATATGCTTGACATCCTCAAGTTCTGTGGTTCATTTGAGGTTTGGCACTCATCTCATCGTTGATCGTCCAAATCGGTGATGGAAACAATAACAAACATAGAATTTCTAAGTATGAAGCCCTCAACGACTGATTCAGTAAAAATAGTAAGGATAAAAGAAAAGCGTGCATATCCTCCGTCTATTTACTTTTTTATCCCCGAGAAGCTTCTTAAGAATTAGCTCTGTGGGAGAATATATTTCCGAAATTGCCATTATACGCCGACTAACCATCTGTAGAGCACGCCGAACCCGCTCTCCTCTTCCCATTCCATGAAAGTACTGCTCGCCTCCAAATCCCAACTCCGGTCAACACCGCCGGTGGCGCTGGCCGGAGGTGGATCGAACTGATGGCTGCCGATTCTTCCGGAGAATCTCAAAGAATTGAAGGAAGAAGAAGCCGAGGAAGTCAGCCGATCGACGCAATCCCGAAGCCATCCACGACCCCCGGTTCCGGCGGCCTCGGCGACCTCCGGTCCTGGTGGCGGCGGCGCAACTGCACCTCCTACGCCGTTCTCTGGCTTCCCCTGTGGTGCCCTCCTCAGGTGCTCCAAAACTGCCTCCACCTCCTCGTCTACCAAGTATTCGAATGAAGAACCTAACGAGTATGATCGCCCATGGCCGGGGGGGATCCCGTCCACTGACGGCCTCCGGCGGCTCACGCTGCCGATTTCGACGCGGAAGCTTCCAGATCTGGAAGGATCGGCGGCCGGCTGGGGAGCCGCCGCCGGAGGGAGGTGGATGGACGCACGGCAGAGGGGGCAGGATGGAGTGGATCGGAGCCAGGTGTCGACGCATTGGGAGTGGAAGGCGTGGCGGCATGCTGGAAGGAGGCGAAGCTCGTCGTGAGGGTGGAAGTTGGAGAGGCAAACGGCGCAGTCGAGCGATTGAGATTTCTGGAAGGCGGACACGGAGGAGGCGAGGGTGAAGATAGGGAGCGATGAGATAAGCTGATCTCGATCGGACGCCGCAGCCGGCGATTCGGCGTCGTCACCGGCAACGGAAAGGCTGCGGAGGAGAGGGACAGGAGATGGAGGGGTGGAAGAAGACGAGGAGGTGGAGGAAGAAGAAGACGATCGGGAACGGGAAAGTAGGCGAAGTAGGAGATGTATGGAGGCGGAGGCGGTGATGACGAAAGCTACAATGCCGACGATTATGATGAGACTCGGAGCGCCTGAATGCTCATCGTTGGCGACAGAGATCGCCGGAGAGGACGGTGAACGCTGCTGCGGCGGCGGCGGCGGTGGAGAAGGAGAAGGGGGAGAGGGAAATGCGCACATTGCTTTGATTTTGATCTGGGTTTCAGTTTCGGCTCTTCTTTCCGCTCTCTTTCTCTCTCCTCTTTCTTCTTGAAGGAGCATTTATATACTGCAGACAAAGATGAATGGGTATTGAAGAGCATTGAAGTCAAGCTTAACATTCTTTTTATGTTTTTAAAGTGTAGATTATATTTGATCTCTTTCGTGGTATTTAAGACATCAAAAATTAGACCAAAATAAAATGCTAAAATAAGATTATGATTTCCTAATAATTAATTAACCACAAAGGTAGTGAGTTTAACATTACAGTTACCGCGGAGTAAAACTTCTCATTATTATCAGGTTATTTAAAGGTTAGGATCTTATTATTTAGTTAAGATTTATTGGGTAAATAGTACTTTTTTTTAATATTTAGGTTAATTAAGGCTTCTTTTGGGACTGTTTTTTTTTTATTCTTAAAATATTTTTATATAAAAATTTATTTTTTTTACTAGAAAAAAAAAAATAAAAAGTGGTATTGTAAAATTATTATAGCAAAAATTTGATCCAAATTCCGTGGCAAAAGAATCGTTGAAATTTTTCGTGGCAATTCCGTTGTCATCTTCGAAAAAAAATAATTAATCGTAAAATCCGCTGCATATCCGCTGCAAAATACTAATGTTTCTTTAGTGAATATTATCATGATGGTTGTGCTTATTATATTTTTATTTTATTTTTTTCATGATGGTTGTGCTTATTAAATGATATTTATTTACATCTTAGAGTTTTTAAAAGCTTAAATTTGATGTAATATTTATATTAATTGATACATATATTTTTACCATATTTTAGTGACAAATAAATGTGATTAAAATAAAGGATTAGTCAATGTAGTATTGCCTTTAATAAAACAAATTCAATAATATATATGAAAAATATTTATTGTATTTTTCAAAAAAAATTATTTAGGAGATTCTTAAAGCTAAAAATGTTGTCATCTATTAAGGTACGTTTAAAGAGGAGGAGTAAAAGAAAGCTGAAAAAAGTCTTTGACATAACTAATTTTACAAGTCATCATGTTATAATTCCTGCAACCCAGCATGAAATCGTCAAGAATTTATGTAGCATAACCTCTCATAGCCTTCTACTATGAAGAGCAAAATGCATGAAATACAATATAAATTCCTCATACTATTGAACGGGAGCTGATGGGTTACGGAGGAAAGAAGAGTTAAAGGGACTAAAAAAAAAAGAGTTAAAAGGACTAATTTTTCTTATAAACAGTTTATTTGAGGGAATAATTTTAAATATCTTGTGTATTTTGGATATTTTTGCCCCCCCCCTCAAAAATATTTTTTGCCCTAATTTTATCAATCTTAAGC